TTTCCGCTGTGCTTTTTTTTTTTTTTGGGTGGGGGGGGGGGGGGGGTTATTGTTTCTTGACTTAATTTGTCACCCCGAGAAAGAAAGAGATATGTCAAAAAATAGATATGGATTGCTAGGACCAGAACCAAAACACGTACGTTGGCAAAGACAGTGATAATTCTAGCATACAAAAGCAAGAAATAACAGTTCAAGTGGACTAAAATACATACCTCTCTCAGGAACTCCTTCAACTGATCATCTTGAAAATCCTGCATGCTTAAAACCTTGACTGCAACATCCTGCAGTCAGAGCAAGGTATTTCACTTTGCTAAGGAATTAGGATTACATTCAACGCCAGTCAAAATTACTTGAAAATCTACGGATCAATAACCAGGAAAGACCACTAATCAAGAAGCACACAACTTAAGCAACGTGCATTGGTCACAAACTGAAGCATAAACAAGGAAATAATCAATCAACAACACAAACAGAAACACGCATGTGCACATAATTGTCATATATACATAAAAAATACAGACTAACCCAAAAGGCAAGATTAATTGTAAGTTGTGGAGGGTGAGTTTGTCCTGTGGGACTGTACGACTTCCATTATTTTTTGTGTTGCATTTGATCCTATGTGCCCTCAAAATCTCACCTAAATTTATTCATCCCCTCTGGCCTTCGTATATACCCCCTATTGTTATTGCTCTACGACACTTGATGGTCACAAAAAGAACTGTATTTGTGGCAGAAGCCAGAATCGAACAGGATTTAACTTTGTGATACAAAACGACTTAATTGCATATGAACGTATAAATTGGAATTACATTTTTCATTTCTTAATATCACCAATATCAGGTTATGCAATAAATATTCACCAAGTTCAACCTATAGTTACTATCCATCAGATTTCATGTAAAAATGATCCTTTTCTTTTGGATCCTATGTGTAAAGAATCACCGGTGCAGGATTCTAAGTCATATTAAAATTGACTGGCATCCATCATCCTTTCCAGTGCAACTATAAAATTTAGATTATGCTACCACATTTGAACTTTCATATATCAGAGTCGAACTCTAATCCATCCTGCAGAATTGAAAACCAGTGGGGAAATCTCGAATTAGGTAATACTAACCGATCCATGCCACTCAGCCCGATGCACTGTTCCAAAAGATCCTGCAAAGGAGAAATTTTTTTCTACTAGTTCCTGAATTTACTTTAAAAACTGTCTAATTCTTCAAGGAAAAAGCTGATAATACATAAATGGCAGAAGCAGTACCAGCACCGACACGCTCCTTGACATGCAATTCATCCCACGAGATCTCAAGCCAGTCCATTGCAAGAGAAGGCTCAAGATTCAAGTATCTTGGAATGGTTCGAGTAGGAAATTTCACTCGATGCCCATTTCTACTGTCAACCTCCATAGGATCCACTTTACCATAGGCTGCTACATGACGACGTCTGACACCAGTGCTTATACCTGGGCCACCAGACACCACCCCCTTTTTTCTGTCAGTCTGCCAAATAACAATTTTGTCCCCTCGCGATCTAGAACAGTCATCCAACCCAGAAGCAGCAGTAGAAACAGCCATAGTTTCAGGAAATTCATCTCCTCCACATCGACTAGTTGGGCTGTGCGCTGCCGCCTCTGAATTTCCAAGCATGCCAATATCATCCATTGCATGATCTTCCTGAATGCCTGGGTGGATTTTTTTTGCGTAAGTTTGATTGGTGAGAGGAACAGCACCTAAATATTAAGACATTGCAAGAGTTGCATTAATCTGTGGTTTTGTGAGCCATTGGGTGCAACAAACTTCTTTATGCCGCTGAGAAAGCAAAGAGACAACTCTAAGTAAGTCATATTTCATACAGAACTGGTTATATTTCTTAATTTTCTAAATTTAATCCAACTTGATTGCGAGCAAGGAATGGTGCAAATCATTGGCACCAATGCAAACGGTGCAACTGATTGGCCATTGATTTTTTGGGGGTTGGAGTTGTGATCCAAATTACTCTTTATGTTTAATTAGGAAAAAGAAAGACCATAACTCAGGCAATCTCCATATCCTTGTATTACATATACTTAAGTTACACCTCTTTGCTTACCTAAGCTTTTAGAACTATTGGTGGTAACATGCTAAGTCCGTCTCAAGCTCAAACCATACCAACTGCACATCCCAATATACACAATGATGACGTGCATGGACTACCCTACAGGGACCAAGAGTACTAAAAACTATCAGCTTAAGTTTTAGATGAGTGAGTGGTTCACACTAAAGAATGATGGATAAGCTTTTGGGTTAGTTGGTGGTATGGGCCCAGAAGCAGTGACAACAAAATAACATTTCAAATTTTGCATAAAGAGAATAATGATAATCTGAGAGCTGAGAGCTGAGGCTCACTTACATTATTACCTTAATAAGATCACTTAATCACAAAGTATTCACAACACAGAACAGAGACAGAAGATACGTCATTCATGAGAAATTTGAAGCAGTTATTAAGGTATTATTGCTTCATCAGGATCCACACTGTCAAAGGTTTGTGCCGAAAGCATATTTCCTTCTTCTAAACTCAGTTATGGAAACATCTCAAGTTACTGTCATACGCCCACTCCTCCAATCAATTCGTCCGGTCTTAATCCTTGATGTATACAGACAAATTTCAAGGCATGCAAAACTACATACCTGAACATAGAGGATTTTCAATAGAAGCACAAGTTTGCTTTGAGTTTAGGAATTGATAACATAACGCATCATCCATATAAGGTTGCTGAAATTCTTTTAGATGTGAAATCTGAAAAGGTGAAGGCATCGAAGAAATTATAGCTCCAGTGATTGAGGAATCTGGCCCATGGACATTTCCTGGTTCCCCAACTAAGTCAACTACAAATTCCCTGTTAAAAGATATATGCATATTTAAGCAACAAGAAATAAAAAATGATTGTTTAATACAAATTCTTCAAAGGATTCATGAATTTAGAATAATATCAGGCATGCGTACGTCAAAGCTGCAATAAACACGTCAAAGAACTTCAAAATGTTAAAAAAGATTGCTGTCAACTTCTTTAAAAACCTAATATCCTCGTGTAACCATAAAGAAAAAATGTGGTACAATTCCATGTTGTGCACTGTTGAAATATAGTCTTGTTTATTAAGGTTTTTTTTTTCCTTTTTAATTATTACTATAACTTTATATTTTGTCTAGAACATAAGAATGTTTAGGCCACTTTGTATTGTTTGACTATATATACAGGATTTTACTCTTAGTTTGAGTAATTCTTTCACTCACATATATCTCTTATTGGTATCAGAATGAGGAACCAGTGTATCTGATAAGACCACACTATAAGTTCAAAATGTAGGAGAAATATCAACATAAGAAACATAAGCAGAAATCGGATATAAAGTCCGAACAGTCCAATCGTAACAGACAACTGGACAGCGATCACGCTGCGGATAACGATGTCATAAATTATCATCCTCCACTGACAATTTCTCATCAGGAAAAGTAACTGACTCAATACCTGCAATCTCATTAGTACTAACAACAAGTGCATCAATATGCTCAACGAACTGAGAAGTATTACCTGCATCGCCTAAGGTAGAAGGGACATCAGCAGGGGGATGAGAGTAAGTGCGACGAATATAAACCTGCAAAGGAAGAGAGACTACTGACTCTGTACTGACAGATACGAGTGGCTCTAGTGGAAGAAAGACTAATGACTCTGTAGTAACAGTAACCAATGACTTTGGCTCCTGTGGTAACAAAAAATCAAAGGGAGTATCATCAATTGGAGGGACAGACACAGGAGTGGAAGAAAAATAAAGAATGTGCTCAAGAAATATAATGTCTAGATTGTGATACATATGGCGCCTGATAAGGTCATAACACTGATACCCCTTAGACTGATAACAATAGCACACAAAAACACAATGAATTATTTTATCATCAAGCTTATGACGAGTATGAGACCGATCTTGAACAAAACATGTGCAACCAAAAACACAAGGGAAGATCAAAAAAAGTGTCTGCTCAGAGAATAAGACCTGTAAGGGAGCCCGATCCTGAAGAACACGACTCGATGTATGATTACACAGAACAGTAGAAGTCAAAACAGCAAAATGCCAATAAGATTTTGGTACCCCCATACCTCTAAGCATACAACGTACCATCTCTATTAGACTCTTATTTTTCCTTTCAGCAACTCCATTTTGCTCAGAAGTATATGAACAAGTGAGCTGCTGAAGGATACCCTGAGAAGAAATGTGAGACACTAAGGCATCAGAAACATATTCTTTGGCATTATCCGAATGAAGAGCACGAACAATGACATCGAATTGTGTCTGAATCATCATTTGAAGAAACTGAGTGATAATAGAAAGTACATCAGACTTCCTATGCAAAAGGTAGACCCAAATACAATAGGTATGATCATCTATAAATGTCACATAATATCGAGCACCTGACAGAGTAGTAACAGGAGAGGGTCCCCAAATATCAGAGTGTATTAGGTCAAATGGCTTGGGTGATTGGTGCATGCAAGGAATATAACTGGTCAAAACATGTTTCGATAGGGAACATAAAACACAGTCAAGTTTACCACCAACACAAGTATTGCTCAAAGCCGGAAATAACATACATAAGTATTTAAAATTTGTATGCCCAAAACGGTCATGCCACAACTGAACTGTTTTTGATGAAAAATAATAACGACGAGTACTAGGCAAAATACTAGCACGCAAATTAGGAATAGATAGAGACAAAGAAAGTGCAGATGATGGAGGTGGAGGAACTAGTAAAACTGGAGGTAGATCACCTAGATAATACAATTCATCTCTCTCATGTCCCCTGATAATAATCCTCTTGGTACTCAGGTCCTGCAAATAACACAAATCAGATAAAAACACAACCGCACAGTGAAAATCTCTGGCTAACTGATGTGTGGATAATAGATTCATAGCCAATTTTGGCGCATGAAAAATCGAATGTAATGTAAAATCATCTGGAAGGCAGACTGTACCCCTGCTAACAATAGGGGTATGTGTCTCATCTACTAGATGAATCTGTATATGTAACTGCTCGTCAAAAATGGTGAAGTGATGAATCTCGTCTGTCATATGACTATTCGCATCCGAATCTAATATCTAAAGAGAAGACGAACTGACGCAAGCATGAAAGGCACAAGTTATAACCACCGGGACTCCTGCACGAGGTATAAAGTCATACATCCTTATGTTCACAACCCTATAAGAACAAGACAGGATACCCTTTTCACCCCCCAATCGCGTTGGGTATGAAGTGCAAAGTACACCCACACCACATGGGGACCCAATGTGTATTTGCGGAAAAGAAACACATGACCACTTGCACTTTGGATGTGAATACTCCTATAAATGTCATATTTTGTTAGAACAACAGTAGCGTGGCACCTTGCTTCATTGTATATTTTTCGATTGGCCAATACCAATTTACAGTTCACTTTCCAAAAAAAGATGATCAAAAGACAAAGATTGCCCCAGCCCAAAAAATAGAATGAGGTCAAAAGTTTAGAAAGAAATGAAATTATTTGCCTACAAAGTTCACATTCTTAGCAGCAAACAAGGAAGACAATGAAGTCTCAAAGTTGACAAGATATCTTACCTTGAGAACTTCCTGTCATCCTCAATTTTTACTAAACAGGAAGATTGATGGTCTGCTGCACAATATTTGCACCCTCGAGCAATCCGGCAAGGCAGACCTACATAGTCTGCCAATCTCTGCATAGGAAATAAGGCTGCTTAAATATATTTATCAAAAAGACAATGCTGCGCCTGCAAGCAATCTTTAATCTTATTGTAATAATTAAGAGTTGGCTAACCAAGACCTTATATTCTACCAAACTGGAACTTTTTCACATAATCCTTTGAACAATAAATGCAACATCAACAGATTTTTTTAAATTCAACACAATGCATAAATAGAAATGCCATTGAGGAAATAATCAAAAGAACTACTGATCTATTGTTTTGGTTATACACGCAGAAAATCTGTCACCTTGAATAGAATAGCACGATGCCTACAAAGTCCCATTGAGAGGCTGCCAAGAGGGAGTACGACACACTTATGAAAATCCTTTAGTCTCTTGCTCATCAATTTCCAGCTCATATGTAGATCACCTTGTTCCACCGGAAAACAGCCCCTTAAATTCCAACAAACTTAGCATTCTTACCCAAAAATAAATATAGACAACGACCATAAGTTGCTAGCAAAGCATAATGTTGAACATTACCCCATGAAGACTGCAACAAGTTTGCCGATTTTCTCCACTAACGCAAAGGTATTTTCGGCATTATGATAGATTTCTTGTGCTTTAGCTTCTAAAGCCCTAAGCCGTGAGTCCTCTTGACTATCAACCAGAACCACCTCCATAAATGTATCACTGGGCTCAACAGCTTTAAGCGCCACTAAAGATGGCAGCCGTTTACCTTCCTCCAAGTCATTGCACATCATCCACAGGTGTGGATTCATACCCATAAGGTTATAGAACCCGTTCGATATCCTATCATTATATGACAAGCAACCACTAACCTGAAAAGGTGGAGGCTTGCAAGCATTAGGAATATGACAGGTTAATTAAAAATGAGGTCCAACCTTGACTCTTCAAGCTAACAATCGACTAATCCACCAAGATTCCATGACATCATACAACGACTTTGATAGCATCCCTATTAGTAATGCCTCATATTTACCTAGAATGTTATTTAGTAACAATTTTGGCTTTTCAAATCACAACTGTGTGTATTTACTAAAATTTCATAGCATCCAAGAAAACATCCATAAAGAGGAGAAACTGAAGAGAACATCCGCAGGCGAGGAGTGCGATGGTCCTCGCTGAAGATGTTACCAGTTGCCACGGTAATGACTTAGGCCAAAACGTGATTTACGAAGGTAAAAAACGACATAGAAACGTCCATTTTAACAAATTATTGTAACAGAAACAAGAGTGAAAGGAAATCTTTAGACATAGAAAGTGGTCTGCAATGTCCCCCCAGCAAAGGGAGAAATCAGTACCTAGTACCAACATAAAAAACTGAGGTGATTGAAGCAAGAAAGAATCGCGAGTATCAAGCCACAAATAGACATATGATAGGTAAAAACTAGAAACGGGCAAACAGCAGATCCAATAAACAGTGTTCGCAGTTCAAAAAATTAAAAAGATGGTGTACTAAAAATCGAAAAAACTTGAACTTAGTCAAAACAACTGACAATTGACATCTTCGCGTGGGCTGAGTGTTCTCATGTTTGTGAAAGAATGTGAGACGAGAGAATACCCAGAGTCGATATGAGACAGTTTCTGCATCAGAAGATCCACCGAGGCCCACCGTTCCACTCTCTTGGAGGACTATAGGCTCACTTGCAAGCGTAACCCGTTTAGCAAGCGTAAGCTGCAAGTAATAGCTCTCCCAAGACCTATGAGCCAGCCCACCTGTGTACTCCTCTTCCCTCGTCGTCGACACCTGCGATTCCTTGATACAACTCGACCCATTCCCATCCAACGTCGTCTCCGAAAACAAACTCCCAGCATAACTACTCCCACTCGGCAGCCTCAGTAACGACAACTGCCGATCAAACCCCCTCTCTCTAGTAGTACCAACCACTTCCGTACTATTCCCACCTCCAATAGACTGTTTTTGAGCCGAGACATCGCTGTCAAAACGGTTTTCTTTAACGTCACTAATCGGGGAATCCGAGGTCACCGGTGGAACCAAAAGCTCGTGATCGTTGTCTCCATGGTCCAACGTGATTGCCACGTGATTTGACGCCTTTCTTTTTTTTTCTTGCAACCAAGTGACAAAAGACGCCAATTGCTTTCCGTGGATTTTATCTCCCGTGAAACGATCGGATACAGTTGAATTTGAATCCTTTGCACCACCACCACAAACACATGAGACCTCCTTCGAAATCTTTGACTCTTTCTTTCGATTGTCACTGTCACTGCCATCAAAAGTTTCTTTGTTGATATTCTTCTCGTGATCCAACAGAAACTTTGTCGATGCATCGAATCCAGTAAATTGCCTGGGGAAGACGTAAGTCCTTCGATGCGGCATTTTCAAAAGCCCCACGTGAATAATCACAACTACTCACTCGGTTGCTTTTCTTCTTTTTCTTTCTCTCTCTCACTGTCAATTATCAAGTACTCGCATCTCCGAGAAAACGACAAGCCCAGCACCTAATCGGCTGTAGAATTGTTGCAGATTTTTACGAACAACCAATGACTTGTAGAAACGGAGTTTGGAACGCATTTCCCTTTCTACTGAGTCAAAAAACCGAAAATACAATGAAATCTCTAAATCTCGCTTCAATTTCAATCTGTCAATAACTCAAAAGCTTGCATTAGAGTTCTATATACATCAGTTTCGAAACAGACCTCAGAAAACGGAGTTTCGCAATTCGCAGCAATGAGAAGAATGCATGCAGGACTTTTACAATTGAAGGAACAGCGGTATCTTCTAAATCCGCTTCAGATATTATGTGAACTGGAAAAAGTGAATCCAAATGAGACCTCAGACTCGAGTTTGTGTATACACAGATTCAAATTCAAAGCTCATTTGATTGAAGCTGAGGCCAAGAGAACCGATTTTGAAGAGCTA